ACATTGTACAGCAATGTTTATACCTGCTGAAGCTTAGAAATAATTGAACAGTGGGCTGCTATTTTGTGGCGCCCGGGATGCAGTGTAGAGTTAGGGGTCTTGTTCAGGCACCCAGAGTGGCAGTCTGTGGGAGTGGGACTCGAACTCAGTAGCTCAGGATTCCAAGCTCTTTGCCCTAACCACTAGGCCACCACCCTCTACTTGTGGCATAAAAAATATTCTTAGGCTGAAGGACTAAGTCAACACTACCAGGACAAATACATGGTAGACAGGCTTTAACCTAAAATTAACTTACATTCTTTTCCTTCATTTTATAGGATTTAGAACATCAGCAGACGACATTAGATGGCGAGGCACGTAAAACAGAAAACAATGCAAAACTTTTTTATCTAAGTAGGCACATTTTCTTTAAGTAGGTTTTTACATGAGTTCCATGTAAAATGTATTATTTCAAGTGCATAATATCCACCTTATTTAAGGAAAAAAGAGCAGCTAAAAGAGGTGATCTGCCAATAGTTTAAAGACACTTATTTTCAAACATGTTTAGATCACTTTATGCAGTGAAATGCTTTATTTCTTAAAGATAAAAACTCACAGCCAGATATTTTATTGTTTTATTATGAACAAAGTGTAGAAAAAGGATGTTCTTGGCAACGTTTACATTTCCTCTCCCGTCCAAAAGTCAATGTGACTCCTTTAATATTCTGAACAGGTTCCCTCCATCTGCTGAAGCAAACGTTGGCCCTCCGTGGAGCTGCAGGACCCTGATGACAGCAGAGCCCTCAGAACGCCTCCAGCGAACGGTTTGGGGCTGCGATGTACGGAGAACGAGCTCAGCCCTCAGGAGCGATCGACAGACAGATCAGGTGCTGCTTCGGGTCTACAGTCCATGAAGCGTGGAGCTGATGATGTCCATGAAGGTGGCTTCAATGCAGTAGCAGAGCTGCACGTCTGGGTCGGCTCCGCCCAGCTCCTCGGCCGTCTTCTGGGGTAGAGTCAGCTTGGAGGAGCCTCCGCCCGGAGCTGCAGCCTCCTGAGGTTTCTCTCTCAGAGTCTGGAGGCCTGGAAGGAGGAGAAAGAAAAGTTTATTTCCTACTTGAGCGACAGTAAAGGGATTTTTTTATTGTAAACATTAAATTTTATATGTGTACCACATACATGTTCTACTTTTTTATTGACCCTTAAACTGCAAACTTTTAAATATAAATATATATCAAATATAATATATATAGATATTATTATTCTTACACATTTTTCTAAGGTCCTGATTTGTGTGAACATTTTTTTTTATAATCTTTTTACTGCCATAAACACCAGAATTTCCGCATTGTGGGACAATAAAGGGATTTTCTATTCTATTCTATTCTGTCCTATTAGGGAGTCTCTTGAAATAAGACAATTTTCCCTCAATTTGAGCGAGTAAACAAAACCATTAGACAACAGGATGAAAAGATTTAAATTTAAAAATAAAAAGGATCTCATCCTCTTTATTCCGAATGTGAAATATCTAATTATTTCACTATAAGAGTCAAAGGATCCGTATAACTGACTTTTTTAAGGACATTTTGATTTATTTGTGCAGGAAAACCCTTCACATTGTCTCTCAGGTACAGTGGGGCTAACAAAGGGCACCAAATGTCAGGATCTTTTCATCAAAGTTAAAAGAAATAAAAGCTCTAAATATTTAACTCCGTCCATGAAAAGCAGAGATATAAATGATTTATTTTACTTTGTGAAATTAATAACTCTTAAATCTTTCTCCACTAATCATTTATTTAGATGTGGTGCTTCCCTTTAGGCCAGCTCTGCCATGTTATCGGGATCATCCACACTCTGGGAAACGCTTTCTATAAAAAAAAATGATTTTTTTTTCATACTTTATAGAAACGACTCTTTGCACTTTAATAGATCCGCTTCCTTAGTCGACTAAATGTAACCCTGAACATCTTGACTCCTTAACTCTTTTATTTCCTCTCTTTGTCACTCATTTATTATTAAATCATGCTTTCTTTTGATTTTCTTTTGGTTAGAAAGCAGTAAATAAATAAATATAGTTTATTTCTATAGCGCCAATTCACAACACATGTCATATCCAGGCACTTTACAGTTCACCAGATCTTACAAAGTTTTTTATCTAAGGAAAACTAGTTGATTGCATCGACTCAAATGCAATCCCTCACTCTAAGCATGCTTGTAGCGACAGTGGAGAGGAAA